GCAACCCTCAGTGTCGCGCCCGTACCGGACCAGGACCGGCAACGGGATCGCAACCCTCGGTGTTGCGCCCGCACCTCGCTCAGCCAGTGAGCGGCCGGTCTGTATGTGGGATCCGAACCCTCGGCGGGAGCGCTGCTGCGCTCCCAAGCGGCGCACTGTAGCAGTGCAACACCGGGCCGGCCCCTTCTGCTCACAACCTTTGATGGCTTCCTATTGCACTTAGGATAAGCCCAAGTCCTCACCTTTATTTCTTACTCACTCTTCTGCCCTAACCTGTTCAGCCACTTGAGACCTCTACTCCTCCAACAGGCCAAATTCATTCCTGCCTCAGGACCTCTGCACTTGCTGTGTTCTCTGCCTTGCTCTCACTTCCTCCTGATACTATGTTTGACTCGAGGCTCCAATGCCACCTCCTCAGAGGCATTCCTCAACCCTCTGCCTGCCCATTGTTCCTTTCTATTACAAATCCTGGCTTACGATCTCCTGAGAACTTATCAGGAGCTGAAATGATCTTATTTGCTGGCTGACTGACTGCTTTGATCACTGGAATGGGTGCTCCAGAAAGGCGGGCATTGCGGTGGTCACATTCAATGCCATATCTGCAGTAATCAGCACCGTGCCCAGCTCACAGGGAATGCTCAGTAAACAGTGCCTAAGTGAATGAGTGAAGGGACCCATGAAGGGACAAGTGAATGAGTGAATGAATGAACAAATGAATGAATGAGCAATGGTTGTCTAGACGCTGGGTGCCAGGAAGAGCAGGTATAGTTGGCAGGTCCAGAGTATCTTAGATCAGAACCAGCTACACAATTTGTGGGATCCAGTACAAAATAAAAATGTGGGGTCCCCTGGATTAAGCATTTCAAGACAGTGGCAGTAGGACCAACCAAGCGCAGGATCCTCCTGAGTGTGCAGACCCTTTGTAACTGCATAGATCGCATGCCCATGAAGCTGGTCCAGTCTTAGACACAAAGATTTTGTGGGATGGGGGGGGTGCTTCTGGGATATCTAGGGCTGTGTTTATTGGGAGGACCTGGTGATCCCACCAGGAGGAGATAGAAGCAATGAATGAGTTCTCTGGAAGAGAAAGAGCAAAAACTCCCTACTCCTGCCTCTGTTGTAAGGGCTGCAGGATGGTGGTCACAGCGTATGGTTTTATGGTGACAGCATATGATCGGTGGGCAGGCACTGAAAAAGGCATTGGCCCGGAGACAGAGACCAGGTCTGATACATGCTTTGGGACAGCCGGGCATCTTTGAGGCTCACCTTTGCCTGCTGTCCTGATTTGGGGAGCTAGAGTTGTCCCTGACTTTCAGGTGATCTGGGAAGGCTGAGCAAATTGGATGCTCTCCCAGTGGTAAGTGAAGGAGAGGGGAGTCCAATGCAGAGGGATTGCCCAGGATTCCAAGGCCCATGGTGTTTCTCCACCTCATGATTATCCTGCCCTAGCTATGGGAGTTCCACTGAGTCAGTCCCAGGGGAAGGGGTGTCCTGTGGGCAAATCCCAAAGGGGAGAAGATGGGAGGGAGAGGGGTGGGCTGCCCACAGACCTCATAGACAGCCAGGTCGATGCCCGCGTAGGGGATGATGCCCAGCACATTGGGCAGGTAGCCGCGGTAGAAGGCGCGGGGCCCCTCCTGCTCCAGGATCCGTCTTGCACAGTCCAGCAGCCCCTGATACTGGCCAGTCAGGCGTAGGGTCAGTCGTGTCTTCAGCACCTGGGGAGAAGCTGGTTATACCTGGAAAAGCTGTCTCCAAAGTCACTACATCTGGGAATGAAGACACCTGGAAATAGCTACTCCTGGAAGCAGATATCCTGAGAATCACTGAATTTTAAAAACCACTTATTTGAGAATCTTCTACTATCCCAAATCTCTGTATCTAGAAATAGTTACACCTGCCACAGTGGCATGGGGCAGCCACTGCTGAATGTCTCCCAATATCTTATTCCCTTCTTCCTTAATAATAGAAATGAATTTTCAGCAAGTGCACAACCATTAGAAAAAATAAAGACTACATTTCCTGGCTTCCCTGGGTGTGTGGCCATGTCACTCAGTCCTAGCCAATGAAACAGGACAAAAAAGAGGTTTGTGTGACTTTCAGAAAGCATCCTCAAAGGTGGAGAAATGTTTCCTCCTTTGTTGCTTCTTCCTTTTTGGCTGGGATGTGGAATGTGATGACCGGAGCACAAGCAGCCATGTTGGTCTATGAGGCAGACACTACACTCTGGGATGGTGGACCAGTAAGACAGACAGAAGGAACCTGGGTTTCTGACATAGTGAGGCCACCATCCCAGCTCTGAACTGCTCATCTCCAGACTTCATTTATGTGGTTTGAGTTTTCCATCACTTTCAGAATCCTAAATGTATATTGTACAACCTGAAATCTGAAATGATTTCTCTGAAAACAGCACCACCTAGAAATGATTCCCCTGGGAATATGCCTCCTATCCTTTGAAAAGGTATATCCATAAATGGCTGGCTCCCATGACTTCCGTCCAAACAGTTGTAACCAACACTACTGTCCCCAGAAGTTGTATCACAAATTGTAATAACCAGACAGGCTCCACATGAAACAGCCTTGCTCCAATGAGCTGCAGTCTGAATCAGGGAGAAGTGAAGTTACAATCCCAATGCATATCGGGGAATGTGGAGTGGAATGGTTACAGCAGGCCTCCCACCCGGCAATGGGGTCTCTGCCAGGCCCCCTCCTTCTTACCTCCATGGGGTAAATGATGGTTTGGGCTGTGGCACCAGCCAGGGAGCCAGCCACAAAGCGCTCCTGCACATGCAGTGTCTCCTGTTGTCCACGGATGGCCCGCTTGATCTGAGGGTGGGAGACACAGGGCTGGGTAGGACCTCAGGGGTTGAGAGTTCTGTGCATGCCACTGTTCTAGCTTGCACAGAACTGGCCTGCTGTGTGCATTGTGTTGGGGAGCAGATGCCCACTCCAGGGACCCACATACATCCCCCATCCCCAAGCTAATCCCAGAAGTCCCAGGCTTCCTCACACCAAGCACACCCCTCCCCACACTCTCCTTCACCTGTTCATAGGCCATGAACTTGATAGCCGACTCAGGTGCAATCTTGAGCACGTTGATACCGTTGCCACGCCACAGGGAGCAGATACCCCCCTCACGGATCATGCTCTGTAGGCCCCCCAAGATGTTCAGTCGGTTGGTCTTTGAGGCATGAACCTGACCAGGGAGACGAGGCAGTTTTTTTTTTTTTTCCTTTTTGTCTTTTTCCGTGTCCGGCAACAGATCGCAACCCTCAGTGTCGCCCCCGTACCGTACCGGGACCGGCAACGGGATCGCAGCCCTTGGTGATGCTCCCGCGCCTCGCTCAGCCAGTGAGCGGGAACCGGTCTGTATGTGGGATCCGAACCCTCGGTGGGAGCGCCGCTGCGCTTCCCAAGCGGCGCACTATAGCAGTGCGCCACCGGGCCGGCCCTGACGAGGCAGTTTTGCAGTCCCCTTCCAGGTCCCTGGCCTGGGGGAGAGGGTTGGTCTCTCCAGGGCCCCTCACCTGCATGAAGACCTTGAGGCGGTCCAGAGGGGCCGTGCCTGTCCGCGACACAGCACCCGCCACTGCACCAGCCACCAGCTGCTTCCACCACATGCCTGTCAGCTTCTCTTGCTTTGAGAACTCATCTGGCACAGTCAGACATTCGCCAATGTCCAGGACCTGGGGATGCAGGGATTGGAGGTGCCATGCCACAGCAGGGGCAGGGAGTTAGGACTCAATTCTAAAGGACACCCCAGAGAGTCTGCCAATGGATCTTGATGGACAGTCCAGGAGATCCCTCTCGGATCCTACCAGATGCCACCAAAACATCCAACCCAGCAGTTTCCCTGTAAGATTCTAAGATACTTCTTGGAAACCTCCACCAAATCCCACCAAAGGATCCTACACAAGCATCTGCCACATAAAGATCCCTCTAGAGCTAATCAGATCCCTCTGAAAGATCCCACTCAAGGGTCTCCAATATAAGGATTTCAGAAGATCTCTCTAGGGCCACACAAGGTCCTACTGGGAACCTACCATATAAGGACCTCAGCTGATCCCTGCAGGGGCCTCACCACATCTCACTGGGATCTCCTCCCCAGGGAGCCCCCCACATCATCTCCCTTCTATAGAATTACCAACCAAGGCCCCTTGGATCCTCTGGGGTGGGAGTCTCTGGATCTCCTGAGAGGATCTCACCAGATCCCACAAATGGATCCCCTCCAGATGCCATCAAATCCTACCAGAAGCATCGCTCAGGGATTCCCACCCAGAAACCGGGGATCTAGAGCAAACACCCTCTTCCAGTGGATCCCATTGGACCTCCTGAAGACACTGGCCTTTAACTTTTCTGTCCAGCAGCAGAATCCATTATTCAGCAGAAGAGGAGCTGTGTGGGCTGAGGGGGTGAGGCCTGGTACCTCGTCTGGTGAGCTCTTTCTTCCCTGTACCCCCAACCTCCACAAGCTGCCCCTAGAAGCCCCCAAGTAAATTTGAAGGGCTCCAATCAGATATCAGAGATGTCCCAAATGTCTCCCCAGGCCCCTGAACCCTAAATAAAGAGAGAAACAGAGCCCCATCCCTTGGCTGCCTCCAGTACCTTCTCCTTCTAGAGTCCTGGCCAGCACTTCCAAGCCCTGGAGAGACCAGAGCAAGCCTCCACTCTCCTCCCCGCTACACCCCCAGAGAAGAGGGACCAGCCTCCAGGCTGGGAAAACCACTCCCACCTCACCGTGGAATGCTTCCAGAAATAGAGTACATCTTCCACGTTTTCCAGAGAATGCAGCAGGAAGTGGTCACGCCATTCCTGCCAGTCGATGGTCATTGTGCCGTCACGGTCCATGCTGGGGTGGGGGTGGTGGAGGGGGCACAGTCTCAGTGCCTGGGGCTGGGGGAAGGTTCTGCTGGGTTTTGCAGGTTTGGGGGTAGAGTGAGCTCCTAAGTACTGAGAGATTGCCACATGTCTAGGACTGTTCTAGGCCCATCCCATGGACTGTCCCATGTTGACTCATCATGCCAACCCTATCGGGGAGATGGTATTATTAGCATCATTTTACATAGGGGGAAACTGAGGCTCAGAGAGGTGAAGTGACAGCCCAAGATCTGCCTGACTTCAATGCCCAACTTCTCAGCTCCACCCTCTTTGGAACTGGGTCTGGGGCCCAGAAGATCGAGGTGGCTGAAGGGTCATGGTGACCTGAGTTACCTGGGATTCTGGGCCCCCAGTGACTTACCTGTGCAGAATTTTCTCTGCCTGTTCCAGAGAGATGGAAATGCCCAGAGCTCGAAAACTCTGTTGGATCTCAGAGACATCAATATGACCTGGAGAAGGGGTCCAAGGTGGGGAAGGGTGTGTGTGTGGGACCCTGGGGGACCCTGGGACAAAGGATCAGGAGAGCTTGGAATGGGAATGGTCTAGGAAGACCAGGGAATCCAGAAACCCAGGGTAAAGTTTGCAGCAGGGTTGAAGGGGTGGGGCATCCCTGACCCATTGGGATCAGAGAGGTGGAACTGGGCAATATTAGTGTGGGGGGGTCCTCAGTTCCACAAATGAATGAATGAATCCAGGGGTAATTATAGGGCTTTCTACAACACGGGATCAAGAAACAACATTCGGAACCCAGAAGGTGCTAAGGGGGTGGGTGTCTTTGTCTTATAGGGACTCTAGGAGCAATATCGAGGATCTTCGTCCGTGAGAAAAATCTAAGGGTAGTAATAGGGCTCCAGCCCCAGAAGGGAAAAGGAGGTGGGATGGGCTGGCTGGGCCTCGAACCACCTAGCTGGGGGTGAGGAGAGCTCCCAAAATAGCCTATGAATCATCGGGAGAAGGGGCCCCTCCCCCGTCATCCCAGAGCTGCCAGTTCTAACCCATTGGCATCTCCAGGGCCCCCACAGCCGCATCCCCTGGCCCGCGGGCTGGCCTTACCATCCTGATTCCGGTCAAGACTGTGGAACATGAGCAACAGACGCTGTTCCCGCTCCTGCAGATAGCGGCTAAACTCCTCCAGGTCAAGCCCGCCATCCAGGTCAGCGTCACCCTCAGGGGAGATGCCCTGGCAGTGGGAAGGGGACAAAAGGGGAGCTCCAGGAGGCCGCTCCCCGATCCGGAGTAGGTACCACCTGTCTTATGCCTCAGGAACCTAGGGCCTCCTGTGTCTTGAGGAAGGGGACAGGGGACATCATCCCCCTCCCCCAATGAGCTCACTTCTCAGCAAGATGCCCAGGCCATGATAGCTATATGAGGTGGGTGATGGTAGTCCAATTTTCCTGGTGAGCAAACTGAGGTTCTACAAGGTCAAAGAACTCATTCAAGGTCACAGAGCTGGCAAGTGGTAACCTTGGGGTCTTGTCACTAAAGCCTGTGCTCCCAGCTGCCTGTTATAAAAACCTGTCCACATGGCAGTCTAAAAGAACTCCCTTAAGAGACAGCCCTGGGCAACGTGGGGCAGGAGAGATCCAAGCTGAACAGCCTTGGGATCTCTTATTCCCATCTGGAAAGTGGGTGGTTGGATGGGGATCTCAAGGATGCTGTGGAGACACTTCAGGGGCATCTGGGGCTACAGGTGTGGGCGACACCTGCAAGGCGGGGGAGCGGAGCAAATTCTTGCCTTGACAGGTGCATCTCCAGCTGAGTGTGGCCTCAGATAGAATTGGGGCCCTGGCTGGGGCAATGAGCCAGGCCCAGGAGAGGGCAGGGGAGGGCATGTAAACACAGAGGCTGGGGCAACTGGCCGGGAGGGCAATAGGTGACCTGAGGAGGGTGGAAGGGTGTGTCTCCTGGAGGTGGAAACGGGATGTCTTGAACGGTGCAGAGTCTAGAGGAAGGTGTGTCCCGGGCAATGGGCAGGAAAGCGCCCCACTTTATTCCCTGGCAGAGACATCCCCATCCCCGGGGTGACTGGGTTTGGCAGCCAAACTGCAGACCTAGGGACTCGGCGGCCCTGAATTCGGCGCCAGACACGAGTGGGCAGGGGGCGGGGGACAGAGACACAGGTCCTGGAGACCAGCCACAGGTAAGTCCCAGGCGGCTCCGGCCGCCCCATTCAGAGGCTCGGGTCACCCGGCCCGGGCGGGGCCCCAGCGCGGCGGGCGAGGAGGGGGTCCGGGCGGGGGTACCTGTTGGGCACCGCGGTCTGGGTCGCCTCCGCCCAGCCTGGCCAGCCCCTGGCGCAACTCGTGCACGTCCACTCGGCCATCCTTGTTACTGTCCAGCTCCTCGAAGAGGCGACTCCAGCGTTGCCGCCGCTCCGCGTCGCCCGGGCCCCCCTG